ACTTGCCAGGGTTACACAAAACTCAATCACATAATATCAACGGCTACAAAATTATTTTTACAAACCAATTCACACAAAACTCATAACTAAACTATAATAAAACATTTTGCTAAATTTCATTTCTTTTCCAACACCTGCTGTCTGTCTGTCCCTGCACGCTGCCTGGGTGCTCTGTGCAGGGCACAGGGGCAGGGACAGCGCTGCTGGGCCTCTCCTGAGGACAGCCAGCCTGCTGCACAGATCAGGGATGGCATGCAGGCCCTGCTGCTCTCCCCTGCCTCTGTGCAGTGCTGGGGTGTTTGCCATCCCCCCTGCAGGTACGGCCAGAACACGCTCATCCAGTTTGAGGACTTTGGAAACCACAATGCTTTCCGGTTCCTGAGGAAGTACAGGGAGAAGTACTGCACCTTCAACGACGACATCCAAGGTACACCCTCTGTTTGTGTTCCTGAGCATCCCTGCAGGAACTCTTCCCAGAGCCACAGCCTGCCATGGAGGCGTGCTCAGCTGCCCTCAGGTTTGCTCTGCTCTCACAGGGACAGCCTCAGTGGCCTTGGCAGGACTGCTGGCAGCCCAGAGAGCCACTGGGAAACCACTCACAGACCAGAAAGTGCTGTTCCTTGGAGCGGGAGAGGTGAGTCCTCTTAAGGGCCCAGAGCAGCAAGAGACATTTAAAATGTGTATTTTCTCATCGTGGGGTTTTGCCTTCTCTGAACTCCATTGCAGAGCTTTTCATATATAAGGCCAGCTGAAATGCATTAGCAGAAAGGACTCTGCCTAAACAGGCAGAGTATGAATGTGTGAGTGGTGTATGGAAGGTGTTTAACATTTGCAGGGACTCACATTCTTCATTTCGCTGCACGGCCTTGAACAGAGCACCAGGCACTTGTGTGTATTTGAAGGGAAACTCACCATAAAATCATGGTGTAGTGAGACCATCTTGTTGATTTTTATAGCACCGGAGGGAAGTACAGGGAGTTCTCCTCAGCAAGGTGATTGATTCAGTTTGCAGCAGGCACCAGTGAGCAGGAGCAGCCCTGTGCTTCTCGGTGCATCAGCACAATCGCTCCTGTGGTGCTGACAAAATGACTTAATTATCTGAGAAGTTCTCCATCTGGGAGCAGTAATTGGCCTGCTCTGCCTCATTTCTCCTGCCAGGGAGGGGACAGGAGCCAGGCTGGGAGCACGGGGCACCCAGCACAGGTTGGTTGGGTGGCAGGAGGGCTGAACCAGCCTGTCCATGCCAGGCTGGGCTGGCACAGCTCACAGCCCCGGGAGAGCTGTCCCTGCTGTCCTGCCTGCAGGAGTGCCAGGACACACAGCTGTGTCTCAGAGCACGCTCCCCAAGGGGCTCTGTGGGCTCTCATGGCTGACCTCTCCTGTGCCCTGTCACCAACCCGAGTCCTCTCACCGCCAGGCCGCCCTGGGAATCGCCAATCTCATTGTGATGGCCATGATGGAAAGGGGTGTTTCCCACGAGGAGGCCTCCAGGAGGGTGTGGATGTTTGACAAGCACGGCCTGCTGGTCCAGGTAGGGCTGCAGCACGCGTGGGATGCCCAGCACGGGTGAGCCCTGCCTTGCCTTCCCCTCATGGGGAACCTCTGCTCTCCTGCAGGGCCGGGAGCAGAAAGTGGATCCCCACCAGGAGCCGTTTGCCCACAGGGCTCCACAGGACATAGACATACCAAAGACATTTGTAGAGGCAGTGAATGTACTTCGGCCTTCAGCTATCATCGGTGAGCGAGCTTAGTTTTCTGTCATCTGGCTTTTTACTGCCTTTAATTTGTCATCAGGGTTCTGGGCAGCTCGGTGACAGCCAGCTGCGTTTCTGCTGATGTAAAAAACATGGAAATGTGAGGTTAGTTTTCTGCTTGAACATAGCCTGGGCTGTGGTGCTCCTTCTGAGCCTTGTGTCCTTAGTGACAGAGAGCAGCCACAACCATCGTGTTTCCTGCATTGTGGAGTTCCCTGACTGGAGTTGTGTGGGTATTTTCTGACCCTCTGCAGTCCCCGCTGTGGTCAGGCTGTGCCAGCAGCACAGCTGGAAGCAGCAGTTCCATGCTGCAGATCACCAGCACCTCTGGGGTCACTGGCAGCCGTGGGTATTTACAGCTGTGGCTATCTGCAGAGAGCAGAGAGGAGTGCAGGTGTTTCCTGCTGTGACTGCAGTTTCCCTGGCACGTGATTTATTTGGAAAAGGAGAGGGTTTTTAGGCAGTGCACAAACACATCCTAGCTGTGTGTTTGTACCTCTGGGTCAGGAGCACACGGTGCCAGGTGTGCATTGCACAGCTAACACCCAGCATGGATGAATCATCCACAGAGCACCTGGAATTCCCTCTTGTTTATCCAGCACCGTGTTCCTTGTAGTCATCAATACCAAAAAATAGGGTGAAGTAGGAGATGTTGGTGTGGAAATGTGGGTGCCAGCCAGGCAGGAGCCGTGCCTGGCTCCATCTGCAGTGCCAGAGGAGCTGTGCCTGGGGGAGGCTGAGGGCTGGCTGTCCGTG